CCGTCTTGTCTCATTTTTCTCTCCTCACTCTCTAGGCCTAACTCCCTGCTCCTCGCACATTCTCACTCACACATTCATGCTGAGGTGAGAGGGGCAGATGAAAAGCAGAGGTAATTAGGGAAGCTTTGAGTGTGACTTTATGACTGCTAGAGGCTTTGAACTTTCCCCCTCACTCCACCCTCCTTTCCTTTGTTCTTTCCCTCTTTTCCCCCAAGAGAGGAGTCCTGAAAACTCTGAGGGAAACGCATCCTGCCCGTATGTATCATGTCTACTCAGGAGAATAAAAAGGCATAGTTAAAATACAAATATGTTTAGGTCGGTCACACTCATACACACACACACACACACACACACACACACACGCACTCAGACACACATGCACGCACACACGTGCATGCACACACACACACACACACACACACACACACACACGTATTTGCTCCACTATTAGGTCCATAAACACGTTTCCCCTCCGCCCTGTATGATTAAATAAGACGTGCAGGGATGGATTCCGGATATCCTCCCTAATTTGAGCATGAGCTCATGGCGCAGTGCAATGTCGTCCCATGTCCAAGCATCAGCCTCTAGAGCAATAACCCTGTCGGTCAAAACATCTGCAGAGAAAAATACATGGAGGCATGAAGTGAGAGGGAAAAAATGATGATGTGAGAGAGGACGGGCTAAAAAGATCACAGGCAAAATGAGATAGAGAACTTCCAGACAAACACAGAGCGATTGCAATATAGATAAGACGAACTATGACTGCTGAAAGAATGAAGATAGGACACAACAGCCAAGTGATTCATCATCCCTATCACTTGCACACACGCAAATTATATACACATGCAGACACGTGGCCACGCAAATTGTGAACACAAACGCATATAAATCTTCAGAATATAATAAATGAGACAGTTGCCTTTACATAGGCCGTGTTGTGTGAGCCACCCAGGATGATCCTGACAGTCAAAGCGGAGAGAACAAGGACTTTTCAACAGTTTAATCTGTGGTGGCTTATTAGCAAAAATGCTTTAGGCTAGACATCATTGGCTGTCAGTCTAGGGGGGAAAGCAGAGACACTGGGGGGACTGGGGCACAAAGAGCAACAGACGTGGAGAATTCTGTCTACTGTCTAAACAGGCAATGAGGCAGGCGCAAAATTCCCAAGGGGCAGAGGGACAATTACAGTAGGCTGAACTCAACCACCTGTGAGAGCCTAGGGAGACAAACAGTCGCAGGGGGAGATGCAGCAACAGACCACACAGTCTTTGTTTCTTATCCTGTCTCAACCAATTCTCGCTTCTCTGAGTTCTCTTTCTCTGCCATTCACAGCAAAGAACCTCAAGTATCCCTTTTGCCTTGGGTTATAGTTTTGTTCACTTTGTCTCTCGCATACACTCATGCACACGCCGTCTCCCAGGACAGGGGGGGTCTGGAGAGTTCTTGGATGATGAGACAAGGATCAGCTAATTATGTCGCCTCAATGAGGAAAGGCACCGTCCTTGCCATGGCCTCTTTCTCTGTCTCTAACTCTCTCTCACTGTCGCTCTTTGTCAAATGTAGTCCTTGTCCCTTCACTGAAGGGCATCTAAAGTTTTAAATGCAGTGCACTTTCATTGATGATAGAGTGCTATCTAGGCCAGGAGAATATATTTCTCTGAAAAGCATTTGTCAGCTCTTGTGAGGACAACTTGAGCCCTGAGGTGCTCATGATGACTTGCAAGGGTGGTAAATACTGTACATGCTCACATGTCTTTGGTGTACATATACCCACACAAACACACACGCGCACACACACAATGCTCAAGATGCACATGTACAAAACACCTAAATGCAGAATTGCAAACACACACACACTCACTCATATATGAACACACACAAACACAGATGTCATGGCCTTTAGCTGTGGGCCAGGTCCCCCTCATATCGGTGACACTAGTGATCAAAAGTGTCAGCATTTTCTTGACATCTGCTTCCCAGTAGTGTGACTATATACCCAGATACTTACTCTCTTGCTCATCATTCCCACCTGTCGTTCACACACACACAAACACACTCACACACACACATATACACATACACAAACTGGATTGCTTGCACAACAATCTGCTGTCAGAAGGTTGCTGCATATTAAAAATGAATAAGTAAGCTTGCTGGAACTGACTAAACATAAGGCTCTAACCCAATGATTCTGCCATTTAACCAGTAACATAGGCAAACAGACACACAAACATATTCTAGTGGCCAATCCATCTGTTCAACTTTCTCTCAGCCAATCAGGCGGCCACAGAAAGGTGTCCAGCCAGTGAGATTACTCCAGATCTGATTGGCTAGAGCAAGTTGACAGGCCAAAGCCCTTGATGGCAGCACTAAGCTGGCCGAGCTTAGACTGGCCCAGCTTAGACTGGGCTCTGTCTTTGACACCTACCCACCAACAGGGCCCAACACTCATTACCTATCAACAATGGCATGGATTAGAAGAGTCTGTCTGTTTGTGTGTTGGAGATGAGAGAGGAGAGCAGTGGGTTTGGCCTGGTTGTATTTGAGAGTATGCTTTTGTAAAGTTGAATGGTAGGAGGAGATAGTAAGGAGGAAGGAGGATGTTATCTAAAAACAAGGAACCTGTCTGTGGGATTTAGGGCTTGGCAGTCGCAGAGCAAATGGGGACAACAATATCTGGAGAATCCCAAAAGGTTATTGGCTCTGTTTTACTGTTTTACTAGAACTAGATTTGTTATCACACTATACAACTGAACCAATTCTTTTATCTGAATAATGTCAGAAATATTGCTGAAACAAAAAACCTCTCAACATTCATAAATGTGGTCTGTGTTTATGGGGTCATATTCATGACATGACAACTCCCACACATGACAGAGCACAGTAGGGCCTTTAGGGCTGTCTAAACAAAGGAAAGGCCAACGAAAACACACAGACATACACACATACACACTCACTCACACCATCTCCTTTCTAATGGGCACATCCTTTTGAGAAAACACGCACACATCTGACTTGTTGTTGGAAGATTTACGATATGACTTGAATGACAGACAGATGAATGCCTGTACTGCCACATCATGAAAGAATTATCAAATAAAAACAACACATTAACAGGAGAGGAGCAGAGTTTTCAGCCTGCAGACAACTGCCTCAGTGGTGAACTGCATGTGGTGCACAGTGGTGTGGTGTATTGCATAGATACAGTACAAACAAATAGGGGCAGTGAGGAGGAAAGCTACCCACACTTTTCCACCATCCAGCGTGTGAATAACAGTACCAATGGTATCAGCCAAAATCATACTCTCATTACTTCATGCGGTATATGAGCCACTTGCTACTTCACATTCCACTCAAGGCACTCAGACAGCGCAGAGACTGTCCTTAGATGGCCTTGCAAATTGAGGGCTAGTGACATCATCATTTTCGGCACCACCATACTCCAGTTTCTATTGTTATTCCATTGTTATTTTCCATCTTGGCCTTTTCTGGATATGTGGAACACCTGATCTTCATTCTCCAGACAGGCTCAGACATGAGGTAAGACGGGAAAGATCTTAATGATGATGAAAAGGACGAATACCAGGAGCACTATTCAAACATGGTTACTTCTATTCATGTAGCCTGCTTTTGAAACAGCTGTAAGAGGGGCTTATCTCCAGCACTAAGTGAAAACCTACATAGTAATATGTTTGACAGGCCTGGAGTTTCATATATTGGTTCTGTTTTAGTACGAGGAACATTGTGTGACATTAATATATCCTGTCCATATGGCATTTACAAGTCAAATATGACAATAATAACTTCCATGACAACAAGGTCTGAAAATAATAAATTCTCCATGACTGTTCCCTAAACAGTGCTCATTTTTTATTACACCATTTGTTCACATATGATATGACTTTTCCATATTGGACATCAAGACCAGTAGTGTTCTTACATCCATCATAAAATAAAACTTGGCCAACATGGCGTCTAAGCAGTCCATTGTCTTATAAAACTAATTGCATGGTACTGAAATTCCTGTAAAACTAAAAACATCCAAAGCATGTCTCCAACCCTGTGGGATTGTGCTGGAGGTTTTGCAGAAGAAAAACTTTGTTTCGGAAATTTTTAAATTTATATGACACTGCAATTACTCGAGGAAGAGGGAGGACAAGCTTGGGCAACTAGTGCACTGCTTGATTCAGTTGGGTGTAGCACAAAGCCGTTTGCCAGGCAAGCCGTAGCAGAAACAGGCTTTGTATCTACAGAAGGGGTTTGTTTTTTTAGAACTCAGACATTTGAACTATACTAACAACCAAAGTACTGCAACAAGAAAACATATACCCGAAAATAATTACCCTTGGACAGATTGTTTCACCCTCCAAAAATACTGTAATTTCTTGCAGAGTTCCAGTAATTGTTTTGTTGTCTTGAGAGCAGGATCAGATAATGACAAAGCAGACCATCTTCCACCAAGTACTAGAGGCTGAAAAAGGCCTATATACCCTCTTTTCCCATCTACCCTCAGTGATCCTTCTCCACAGTTCTGTTGCTGCCAAACCCACAGAAGAAGGGAAGAGGAGAGGGGGGGGGAGTAAAGCCTTGCCCATTTTGTGAGTTGCACACTTGCCTGCACACCAGCTACCATGACCCAGGGGAACTGAGTAAAAACTTTTTTTCACCAAATACTGGATAAATAAATATTCTTTGCAAGCACGAAAACAAACAAAAAGTTATTTTGCTTTTATTGCTGAATTTGGATTAAAATAAGGGGGACAGGTTCAGTTTCAGGTGAACAAGGTGCTGGGTCAAGTTTTCAAATCAAATACTTTGGAAAAGCTAACATTTTGGGGTATCAGTCTCATGCAGTGGTAAGTACAGTATGTGCCAGATAGCTAAATAACAACTCATCAACCACGGAATCCCAACATCTCCTTCCATTACATCAACAACAACCCAGTGTTTCAGGCCAATCCCACCCAACCCCAGCTTGGCCCCTTTGTCGCAGCTCTTACCCTGGAAGGCATCCGAGTGGCCGGAGATGAGGTGCTCAAGCTCATAGCTGTAGGAGTGAATGTTGTGAAGAGTTTCTCGTTTTACAGCAAACTGGTAGCTCTCCTCCATTTTCCGGGTGCAGCAGGATGGACCCTGGTGCTTACAAATCAGCAGATCCACATCTAGGAAAGTCAAGCAGAAATGAACATATGTTCAAATCAGAGGTAACATATAAAGCATATCACAGGAAATAGAAGTGCAGAGAACTTATATATATGTATGTATGTATGTATATATAATATGTGTGTGTGTGTGTGTGTGTGTTTGTGTGTGTGTGTGTGTGTGTGTGTGTATATGTGTGCTGTCCAAGTATGTGTGAGTATATGTATAGTGTCCTGAGTATGCACATATCCACTGGGAGACAGAAGAGGCACCAGGGGAGGGTGAGAAAGTAGACCAAGAATTCATCCATGTTTCCTGCTATATATACTGTGTCTGCTAAATATATAAATATCTTTGGCTCATACGATTGCACACATGTCATCAAGACATACTTTTGTACATGTATGTAAACTCTATGTCCCATAAAAACTAAAAAAAGTGCATGAATGCACATACTTGCAAAACTTTCAAACTGAGTCACACACATGCATATGCACAAACACACACACACACACACACACACACACACACACACACACACACACACACACACGTATATATACAGAACAGTAATTTCACCTCTTCAACTAAACAGTCATTAGCCATAATGCTGTAGTTCATAACGACCACATGACGGCAATGACCTAACTGCAAATAAGAACAGCTCAATCAGGCACAATTACATCAGCTGAAACAGAGTCCACCCTGTCCTGCCAGTGTCACCTGCTGCTCACCATCGCTATATATATAAACACTGTCATGACATCACTGAGACTGTTCACAATTAGCATGAGCTATTAAAACTGTCCTTTCCCACACATTTCCTTGCACAGACTCACATGTACAGGGGCATTTATATAATGCAGTAGCTGATATGATAACTCATTTTACAGGGGGAAGGGCTGGATGTGGTGGCTGGAGGCAGGTGTTGTAACCAGAGCCTAAAGCATGGCCTTAGGACAGACCGCAAGACCAGTGCCTCACTGTCCAAATCCCTCCATGAAACACAATAGGGTTGCATTCTCAATCCCTCTTTCCCTTTCTGCTCCCTCTCTCCCATTTGCCTGGCATATCCTACTGAGGCCTGGGTGTCTCTTAATTACCCAGTGAGGCTCCATTTGTTCCCATCCCAGAGCCAGACGAGTGAAGTCATAACTGGCTGTCCTGCCCCTTCCAGCTCATTATCTCCATCTCTGTAGCAGTCCACTCTTTTTATGTCAACACTGTTTCTGCAAAGTCTTATCCTGACCTTTTTTACAATAATGCCACTCCTCCTCTTCCTTACCTCAACCATCAAAGAATAAAGTTTGCCAATGAACAAATTTAACAAAAATTCAATGCCACACTTTATTTGCAACTTTACCTCTTTTAAAAACTATTTTGATAACTGATATAAATGAGAATCCTAATCCATCCAGCATACAAGCCATAGTTATTTATTGATCTAAACATAAATTAACATGAACACTTAAATAAATCAGGGGTCCTATTGATGACAGGACAGGTCAGTAACGTCAGTTAAAAATAATGGGTATGAGTTCTAATTTTGTTTTTGGTCGAGGTCACAACGTCACAAGTGAATACTGCTGGTGGTCTACCTCATCCTTGGGTTAAAAGTCGTAACACCAACCTTTTAAAATGGATCTTCTTTTAATATGAAAGTATTTCAGTCAGAGCAGAGCTCGTCTACACCCATGTCACCAGGCAACAGAAGCAATGAAGCAACACTTGACATTTCCACTACATTTTACTGGGTAAGTGCAACTATGCAGCTCTGACTGGAGAAGATATTGGTTTTCTAGGGGCGGAATGACATGCAACAACAAACCATAAATGCCCTTTATAGAAGCTATATATTCTAGGGATATAATGTAAGTGTATTGCATTCTTTAGATTTCCATGAACTAAAAAAAGGACGTTTGTAAATCTCTCAATAAATATCACTGTCTACACACACGGGCCTCATCATTGTGGAAATGTAAACAAGCTGATTCATGAAACATATAACCTATAACAACAAGCTCAACCTGTTAGCTTAGAAGTATGGGAAATGTATGGGAAAGCATGATATATCGTTTTAGTTCTGTTTTAGGGTTATCATTTCACCATATTTGGTGTCTGTCCTGTCTCCTCTTTTGTCCCTGACCCTGTTCACTTAACTGGCTGGCTCTTTCTCCCCTTTGTGTTTGTGTGTTATCTGTGATATGAAACTAATATCCAGGGACTCACAGTGGAATCCAGCCTGGGCTCTCCGTCCCTTGCGAGTAGCTGCATGGAGTAAGTGATACTCAGGGATACTTTGGCTGTTAAAGCCACCACAGAAGTCAGGACAGTCTGACTGTGTCACGAATGTACCGGGCCACTTTCTGGAATCATTAGACGCTATGTCACTACTAGTATGTCCAACAGCAAACAAACTGCAGAGTCTGTTCTTTTTTGTCTTTAAAAATATTTTAATTAGGCTACATTATCTTAATAAACAACATTTCAGTGGTTTCTGCCTTAAGGGTAAAATAAATATGTATTGAGGACTCAGGGCAGTGGTCTTCCAAGGACTCTCTGATTCATTTAAGTCTATATAGTCTATGTAGGACATACAGTATCTTCATACCTGACTGCGTATGAATGTGTATTATTCAACCAAACTCCATTTAAATTTTCAAGATAAAGAACACATACCACAAACCTATAAAAAGTATTGAACCACCCTAGAACTGTTTTTATACTGTTTAATCAAATGAAAGAATTGGATTTAATGGGGGTTTTAAAGGGCTGTTTAATGTCAACATAAAAAAGAAATTTAATCTAATGTAAATTCTAAATATTTCTAAAGGTTCTCATCCTCTTGTAGTCAAAATTTAGTAGGCACCTTTGGCAAGAGTTGCTGTCTTGAACATCTGGACACAGGAGTTTTTCCCTATTATTCTTTGCAAAAGTACTCAAGCTCTGTCAAACCGCCTGGGGACCATGACTCAACAACAATTTTCAAGTCCTGCCTCAAATGTTCAATTGGATGGATTGGAATGTCTCTGACTTGACCACAATAGACATCAGCTTTGTTGTTTTTAAGCCATTTCTGCACAGGTTTGGCTTGCTCTCTTGCTGGAAAATAAGCCAAGAAATCATTAGAGTTAACTTCAAATCTTCTTTCTCTTTGCCACTCTGCTATAAAGTTATAACTGGTGAAGCACCAAAGCCAGTTATTGTATGTGCCGTCTCTCCAGTCTCAACCATGTAACCCTCTAACTACACAGTAGCCACAGGTGTCTTGGTGGCTTCCCCACACTGGTGCCCTGCTCACACAGACAACCTTTGTGGCATACTTGTGAGTGTATTTTATTTTCTTTAGATCGACCTTACGGTGCTACTGTGAAAATTTTCTTGTATCCTTTCCAAAATTGGAAGTTGTTCAATAACTTTGTTGTGGAGTTTGAATTACCTGTTTGTTTTCATGATGTTCTTTTTTGGATAGAAATAAACTATTTAGTTGTTGGACCTTCGCGGGAACGTTTCACTGACACCACACCTTGATTACTCCCTGGCATGTTGTAATTGTAATGGGGTGAATACTTATGCAATAACTATTTTTTGCCAACAGCTAACAGAGCTCTGAAAAGGCAACACAAACAGTGTGCACATTGTAAATGCACTGGTTGAAAGCTAAACAATATTTTGAGCTATTAATATGATGAAAGACCATGAGAAGAAATAAACTGCACTGAGGAGTTAAAAGTTGAAACTAACCAGCCATGAAGATAATGAATATTTGCAGAATATGAGGGAGGACAAATACAGCTAGTTGGCCTGCAACATGATATGCAGAATTTGCTATGGTAATTGTATTTTATTTTACAAATTCCAAAGTTTCTCATGAATCGTAAATGTTATTTTGTCTACAGGCTGTAGCTATTTTTCTGATTTCAAATAACAACTCTGACACAGACTCCAATGGAGACAGATGACTGAACTCTACTGGTTCTTTTGTAATTAGTGCCCACTGTGTATCCTACTCATTCTGCCTGGCTAAACCTTAACACACTTTGCTCTCCAGACTGGATGTCAACTCTGAATCCTAATTCCCTTAATCGTCCTCAGGTGACAAATACCTCTGAAGTAATTTGCCATATTAAAGCCATGGCTCAGGGGTCTTGACTTGTTAGTCTCAATCCCTTCAGCAACACCTCAGTGCCCTTCATTGCACAAGTCAAAACTGAGTGGAGAAACTCTACCACTGTATAACTGACATACTCACTCACATGCCATTCTCAATATGTGGTACTACAGTAGCAGAGCTGAATACAGTATACTGCTGAGAAGATGCTTGAGTTACTACCACTCTTTTCAAACACGTGCATAAAGTCCTGCACTCAAAAAATGATTTATATGCAGCTCACATCTCTTCAATATGGTATGGAAATTTTGTTTTGATTTTGAATGTGTTGATGACTGGAAGGTTTGCGGTTTCCTGATGCTGCTGTTTTGATATTTTTCTGAGAACAAGAATAACTTTGTTCAAAAGTGGGCAATTAATGCCGTTACCCTTCTCCTGCCTCAGGAAGCCAGTTTGCTTTGAAGCTCCCAGCTCAACTGAACATACAGGATATTTACTCTATACAGATTTGCTGTGCTTGGGATGGACCATGTTGAATGAAAACAACTCAAAAGGGTCTTTGCTGCATACCTGCATTTTTGGACAACCTTGAAACTCAACTGGAATGTTTAGCTTTCCCAGACCCCAAGCTGCAACTGCCTACAGTGATTGGCACGCAGTCCAAAGCCACGGCAGAGGGCAGAGGACGGACAGGCAGATCTTAAAGAGAGAAGTGGAAGGCTGGTGGCCAGATAGATGCACACCTGATGATGCAGCATTATATCAGAGGGCCACAGACTCTTATGTCCTATATGTTCATCTTTTCTAGATGGTTATATTATTGGAGAGGTAGATGATATACTACTATCTTCCTCTACCACAGTAGCAAGCCAGAAGGGGTAAGGTAGCACACACACTGAACACTGAAACATAAGATAGACTTAGGGATAGACTTAGGGACAGACTCAGACAGTGTAATCAGCTTCAGACTGGGAAAACGCTGGTAAGGCTGAACTGTTTGAGATTGACTGGAGCTAGAGCTTGTGAGGTGTTTGTCAGTTCAATAATCTAAACGGTGTCTTGTAACTTGAAGACATATGATGTAATTTTTCTAACCACCAATGTCTTTTTTCAAATAGATCCACTTTTACAAAACTCATGTGAATTGTACATTAGATTGAAGTAGGTGGTTGAGGCACACACCTCCATGTAAGGTATTTCAGTGAGAAAGACCAAGTAAAAAAAGGACTCAAAATAACCATAGCCAATCAAAGACCATGCTGAGCTTTGAGAGCTTGCCAAGTGCTTTTGACGCTGTAACTGGTTAAGGATGTGGTGACATGTGATAACACACTGGGCTCCCATTCTCTTGCTATTAACACATGACCCTGCTTGCCACATATTAAAGATATAAGACACTTTATCTTTCACTCTAAAATAGCTGTTAATGACTCAGTAAATCAGAGAATGGCAGTACAGTAATAAGATTTAAAAAGGTGTTCTGTGTTGGGTATGTACACCATCAGATAGGCCCTGCTCAATCAGATAGGTTTAACTGAGCTGTAAAATAGGTTGATCATATCTGAGGACATTATCCAGGAAGCCAACTGTAGAAGTAGTGAGTCTGTGCACAGCACTGCTACCCGTCTGCTTTCCAAATGATCTATCTCCAAAGGGCTATATCAGCACCCTGTGGTAATCTCAATATGGAGCGTTTGGCTGTGTACCACAGTACCAAAGTGGTCATAACTCTTCAAAATAACGACAGGATAAGCAACTTCATGTCACTGATTATCTAAGCTCCCTTGATGCTGAATCTGGCATGGAGATAAAGTTACTCTTTATAAATTGTGGCCCATGCAGGGAACAAACATTTAATGTCTGGAAAACTGAAATAATTCAATACAAATATATATGGGTAAAATACTGCTTTTAATGGTCACTCATTAGCACAGTTTAAGCACACACTTGCAAATGCAATGAGTACTTCTTGCAACACTGCATGGCAACATGATGTTACAGAGTTCTTTATAATCAGAAGGCACTATCACTACTTATTGCACTTCATGCTTTCTTTGAATGCCAGAATTAAGAACAAAGAAATAATGCATAAAATATCTATACCGTTAAAGTGCAATTCTTTTTATACACAATCATATCCAATTGGCCGGCTCTTAAGTTCCCTGCTGCCACACTCCTGGTGTTTAGTGAGAATTCAGTTCACCACACATGAATGAAACGCAGCACTGTATCCTAAAACAAACATCAGGCTCTGAAAAGGGCTGAAGTTTTGCCACTTCAAATTTCAAGACTTGCTTTTGTTGGCATTTGATCTGAGAACTGAAGCAGAGTAGCATAATTGTGTACACACACAAATATACACCAAATCTCCCACTGTAACACCCCCTTCCATTGGTCAGCGCTTTGAAGACAAGATTGCGCCTGACCCAAAACAACCTCTCTAGGACAAGTACAAATAAAAAGCAAAATAAGATAGAAGCCCAGAATGTACCAGTGAAGCTACAGCAATGTTTGATTAGCTGCGGAGGGAAGGAGCAGCAGAGAAGTAGTGGAGTGTAACTGCACAAAAATGCAGTTCACCACACCTTTTAAACAAACACCAATATTTATATCAATTAATAGTCCAGACCAAGGAGCCACAGTTTGTATCTGGATCATATTAACACCATTTTCCAAAAATGTTGTATCTATAGATAGATGTGTCTCAAATTAAATATCTAACTGTGGGGGTTAGAGGTGGGGAAGAGCACATTCATTAAAAGGAAAGACTATTGTATCCCCTTCATAGCATAGTGAGTACATGCTTCTGTTTGTTCACTGTCAGGTAAAATGCTCCCAACAGCTGCAACTGTAGACAGAGATACTCATATGTAGCTTCTGCCAATGCACTGCTGACTGTAAAAGCTTGTCATGCAAGCCTTGCTCCAGACTGCTGACATCCTCAGAAGACCAAGGTCTTTCTGTTGTCTTTAAGAGCAAACCCTAAACTAATGCTTGCATTGACACTGACAGCCTCTGTTGCTAGTAGTGACACCCTGCTAAACAAACATATCAAGTGGTTTGGATGCACCTCTAGGTATGTTTCCCACTCAGCTATCTATTGCTCTTCTCCCTGTTACAACATACAGTCTCAGACTGGGTGATATTTAAACTGCCACCAACCTGCTTGTGACACCGCAGCAGTAAAGCAGATTGTGGTCTGTATTCATATAGATAGTTGTACATTTGCATATCTACTGCTATTTGAGTATTCAAAAGGAAAAATGCTCTTGTATTCTAGACACCCCCAAGAATAAAAAACTTACAATAAAGATAAAGAAAAAAATCTTGGAGTTAAAATATAATAATGCCCACTGAATAGCCTCATTTGTTGAGTTCAAATATACAAATGGGTGACAAATTAAAATAAAAAAACAACATAAAGTGGTGGTGGGCCACTGCATGCCACCAGAACAGTTCCAAGCTCCTCGGCATTGATTCTACAAGTCTCTGAAATCTACTGGAGGGAATAAAACTGTTTATCCAAACAAATTTCCCTCATTTGGTGTTTTGATGATGGAGATGAAGAGCACTGTCTAACATATCGGTCCAAATCTCCTATGGGTGTTCAGTTGGGTTGAGATTGAGACTGTGTAGGGCATAGCATATAATTCATATCATTTTCATACTCATCAAACCGTTCAGTGACCCCCTGTGCCCTATGGATTGTGGCATTATCATCCTGGAAGAGACCATTCCCATCAGGATAGAAATGTGTCATCACAGCGTAAAGGTGATCACTCAGAATAACTTTCTATTGATTTGTAGTGACCCTTCCCTGTGGACCCAAACCATGCCAGCAAAATGCGCCCCACAGTATAACAGAGCTGTTAGATCCCCTCATTGTAGATGTCAAGCATTCAGGTCTGTACCATTCTCTTGGTGTACGCCACATATGCATTCGCTCCACTTGTGGAGAATATGGTGAAGGATGACTCAGACCAGTGACTATGGTTTTGGCATCACTGTAATGAGGGATTTATACACTGCAACCCTACTACGATAAGGACAATATTATTCGGACTGTTCTTGACACAGAACTGACATTCTCAGTTATCTGAGGAACAGTTGTTCTCCTGTTTTTCCTCACATATCTCACTAATGCACAAGCATCACGGTCATCACATGTGCGCTGTCAACCACAATTTCTGACCCTTTTTCCTATAGATTTACATACAGATGTCACGTCACTTTAGTCACTGTTCCTATTGAAACAATATAGTTGAACAGTATTTGTGAATGAAGCTCCTGCCATCAGTGCCTCTACAATGGACCCTCTTTCAAAGTCACTTAGATCTTTTCCTGTTGCCTGTATAAAATAAGAATCAACAGGGCCTGCTCAGCATTTCTATACATGCCACAGAGCATTGCACCATGTACCAACTGTACCATGCAGTGCACCATGTGAAAGCATCTGCATTTGGTATGTTTCTCCACTTGTTTATTAAATTTGTTGCTTTAATATGTCCCGTCTGTATGTGTCAATTGAAATGTCCTCCTCATAAGAAACATGACAGTTAGTTAAAAGTGTCTTTTGCTTGCAAGTAACTTTCAAGCAAAACTATCATAGTTGAAGCAAAGCCTAAAGCCACTCAAAATGTGTTTTGCCTCTAAAACAGATTTGGCACCAATGTTTATCCTTAGAAAATAACTTTTCCTCAGTGTGCAGGAGGGAAGCACATACCACAAACCCTTCAAGGCATTTGAGGCTGCTTTCAAGCATCACAAACAAAAATCTGTCAAAAGACAGTAAAAATCTGGGGACCGTGTCAGCAGAGGTGCCAAAAGACTCTACAGGCCTGCTGTAGGAGTCAATTGATGTCCAAAGTACAGTGGAATCAAGTGCATGTATAAGGGCTTGCTACCCCAAGTATCTAAAGACATGTGAACAAAAGAGTTGGTCTTGCTGACTTGCGCGAATCAATCTGCAGATTGCAAATCAATCACTTCCCCTATTGTGAACACAATATTGTAGCCTCTTGATCCAGACAGATTAAACCACATGGGACCCCTGCATCACACTAGTCTTGTTCTAGCTCAAAAACCCTGTCTCAGCAGCCTGTGAATGTGCTGGGCAGCTTCTCTGCCAAAAGAAATTTGCAAAATAATTGTTTAATCTCTCCAAACAACCCGCATATGATAAGCAGCTGGGTGTCATGTGAAGCTGCAGATTGTGGAGGAACTCTAGAGGCACTGGTGCTTTAAACCCCACAGATCAGATGGGAGCGATATATTGGCGATAATTTATCGATACATGTTTTTTGGAAGAAAAAAAAAAACCTCAGGATGTTCAGACTTCACGGTGATGGACAGATATGATTCCTGGAATTTAATTTAAAAGTACTGACAAACACATTAAGACACACTTCACTTGATCACAAGATCTTTTTGGATTTTGCAGTGCTATACCATTAAGAATATACCACATCATAACCAATACTTCCCATACACAACATCAGACAGACATTTTATAGTAAAAACCCTTTACTCTTTTCAACACACATGACTACTATTACAAGAGAGACAAAGTGAAGACAGACAGCAGTGTCTGTTCTGTCTCTAAGCTTTTCAATCTCTTGATGCTGTCACTTGACTTTTACCTTTGGGAGTCACAGTGTGTGTTGTGATCCACGTGTCCTTTTGACAGGAGCACTGAACTGTTATAAGCACTGGACAAGTCTACTGTAAAAACTGAGAGGTTGTCATCAAGTTGCTAATTTGACACATATTACACGCAAATTGTCTTTGCTGAAATGGTAATGATTGTAGTTTAAGCAAAATGTGTGGCTTCTAACAAAATCTATGATGTTTATAGTACGTTTTAGCCTAAGTGCTCTTCCCTGCAGGCGCCAAACCCACACGCTCACCTGTGCCAGGTGTCTCCGGTACGCGGTGAAGCGGTCCGACCTGCCGCAGCTGGAAAGCGGTCCTGACTTCATGACAGCTGTACGCGTCCACGTCGATCACATTCACCGCAAATATGACCGCTGACAAAATCCAAAAGGATCCGCAAGAGTTCACGCGTGGGCATATTCCTCGGGACATTGCTGCATCTCACACCAGGTATCCTTGTGGATAGCCTACTGTAGCCTGACTGCAAACTGTGTGACAGTGTTGAATGTAGACGGCACTGGAGTACAATGAAGCGACGATGAGTTTAAACATCTGACAAACGTTTCCGTCTGATTTTCACATTATTGGTTGGGATGAGTGTGAGCGCCTCAAAGCAGGCTAGAGGTTTGGGGTCTTCTCTAGCACAGATGAAGAGTGGTGTGAGCTGAAGTCAGTCTGTCCCGCGCTCTACACTTTGCAGTGGTCGACTGTCTGCATGCCTGTTTCCAAAGCCTTCTGCACACTCCCCTCCCTTTCTGTTTACTTCAGCTAAGTGCCCCAACTAAAACTCACTACAATATCCCTATAGGGACTTGCAGTCTCAGTATCCGTACAACATTTGAAATCCCTACAACTAAACAATATCTCATATTTTATCTATAATTTTTGCATCCTGTGACATGTTGTGTACTTCTGAAAATTATTTAACTTTAAACTATTTTTGTAACAAATGTGTGAATAGTAAAACACAACATTATTCCATGGCCTTACTTATAATCTACAAATTGAAGTAATAATAAATAAAAAAAATATCATGAGATTACAAACTCACCCTAACATTAAATGTTATTTTTGGTGGTCTCTCCAACAGACCCAAATTCTATTTTAAACTCAGGCAGATACTCACAGTCAGCTGCTACAAGAAAGAAACTATATTAAAAATGTTCAGATGGCATTAAGTTACTATCTACATCTTCCTTTTTTTCATCAGGATTTAGGATTATGAGTAAATGGATTGTAGGGCAATAAATGCCAGCGTCCTCAAGGCACACAATTAAGTATGAATGTGGGGAGGGGTATGGTTAAACAGCACAGGACATTAAATTTTTCAGAGTACGGGGGTTGTTGAGTTGGAGCTGATTACTTGCATTAATGGGAATCTGAATCTCCTGTTTAATATTGCTGGAATGTGTAAAGACCACAGATTTACTTTTATTTGATTTACATTGCTGCCATCTTCTGGCAAAAAATATTTAGTAAAAAAGCAAGCACTCATTTGTCCAGACTGATGCGCCTATCAAAATATTATGTTCCTTATACAGCTTTGACATCTATAGTAGTATAAAGTAAGATTTTTTGGAGAGTTAAAATATGTAATCAATAATAATTCAGAAATTAAATTACCATTATCCAATTATGATGACATGTTTTCCAGATTTTCTGTGTAACAATGTAGATCTATACACCTAATATGTGTGTGACCTACAGTATATACAGTACACAATAGATTTTAAATGAACATTTCCTAATGTAACCTTACTGGTACTCTTTTTATACATTTTATTTTGTTAAATACTACCCTCTCCTGGTCATACAACAAACTACATCAGCAATCAGCTGCCAACTGGTTTATAATAGTCTACCAAAGAATTCTGCAATCTGGTTTTAGAAAATTGGTATATAAATAAATAATTAAGTTATGATCTAGTGGGGTGGGGGCAAGTTTATTGCTTGGTTGGTTTGAACGCATCTACAGTGGAGGTTTCCATTCCTTCTCATTCTATGAACTAAGGCAATCATTTTTATTTGAACTTTGGGGGAAAAATCTACTGAGAACTGCTAAAACTACTGAAACTATTGCCATCACATCAACACCCTGACCTGAACTGTGTGTTTAGAAAGACAAAAGGGAAAGCTAGCTGTAATCCTGACATATTTCTATGTAATACTGAAAAGAGGTAAAAGCACAGGATAAAGCTCAGTTAGTCACAGTGAAAATGTCGCCCACTGAAACAAGTTTCAGAGCAGCTCAAAATGTAGTGCTCTGATCCAATGACAGCTGATGGACTTGCAGACCCAGGAGTTTGTAAGCCTGAACAGTAATGCCACCAACCCAATTAGAGCCACTACTTGAACATGGAACCACCAATCCAATGGCCACCATAACACAATCGGCTGCTGCTGCTGCAATATACAGTACACTAAGACATTATCAGGGCATAGACTGACATTAGCACTCTGCTCTTCTTGCTGTGGTTTGGATGTGATAGCAGCCAGGCTTGAGAGCTGGCCTCATAAGAATAAATGATGGCTAAAGTAACAGATGACAACTAAAACAATAAACCATGCATAAAAGTAATTAAAACTCACTTTGTGCATGCATCAGTGAGGACAAAGGCAGGTGGCAGGTGGCCTCCTTGGGTTTGTGTAGTCCTGGGGTTCAAATGGTGGTGAACACTGTGCCTCCAGACCAGGAAACTCCCATGAGGACATCTGCAAAGTATGCAGGACCACAATTGCTGATTCTGTTACTGCAGAGGTGAAACATAGTCACATGGTGGGGAAGACATGTGACTCCCAATTGTGACAGAAGATTTAGCCTCTGTAGGAGGACCCAAAGCATTCTGTAAGGAAGGCTATAGTAGCACCATATCCTCACTGGCTACTTTAGAGGCATCAGTAGTATTGGCTCATCCTGCTTGTTTTGTATAGCATCATCTAGAACAGCAGAGTCAAAGGCTGTTCGGACAGTTATTTGCCAGCACATCTTGACTCAACAGCTAATCAGTTTGAAAGTGGTTATTTGGAGACAGCCAGATCTCCTGTTGTAGCTTTCCCAGATGATGTGTACAACCTCTGGGCTCATTCTGCACTTAGGCCTACCTGAAGGAGGCCCCCAGCAAAAGCTACAGCACATAGATGTGCTGGAGTTGCAGGCAATACACCATGCTCTCAGATTTTCATGCATTCCTGGGGGGCAAATATGTTCTTAATTAGTCTGAACACCTCAGCACATCTTATGTGAACTATCGAGTGAACTATCAAAATACAGTCTCAGCGGGACTTGAAGCTTGGGGGCAAGCATCACAACTGAATATTGTGTCTCTGAGAATCATTTGAGAAAAACAATTGCTTGCACAGAGATGGTACTTGCTAGTATGAAGTATATTTGTCGGTGAGTTTTGTTCTGTAGAACTGCTCATTACAGCATTAAAGCACACATTGTATTGTACACATCTGGCAATAGCCTCCACAAGCACACCACAGTACAAATGTGGAGACAGAATACAGGGTATAGGCTGTGGTTTTAGGTACATGAACTTGAAAGTCTGAAACTATCTGCATAACTAAAGTTGCTGTTTGATTCAACAGCTGAGGCCACCTAAATCACCTAGGTCTCATGTGTGACTTTGGCACAGCATAAAGTCTAAACACATATCCCTGGTGGTAATCCCGCTATTAGAAACACACCAATTTACTCATTCTCAAATGTCACACAACACACTGATCTGTTACGTTTCTCACCTGGTATTTACATCCCCTCAAAACTAAATTCTCAATTTTTTCTTCAGTCACTTAACGCTTCCAGATTATGCCAATGCCAGAATCCGGCTCGAGGTGGAGGCAGAAATAAGTGGTATTTCAACTTTGGAAGCAAAGCAAAAAAGGATGCCGTTATTTCATTGTGTGAAAACAAAGGTATTATGCTGGCATGGCAATTCCGTGGTTGGTTATTTACATGTTTTAAGTTGTACAAGGTTAGCATTGTGACATAAACCAGTGTCAGTTTAACTTAGTCAAGAAGTCAAATTAATGCTAACTAACCAGTGTGTCTGACTACTCCGTACCTGGGAGGAACTGCTTGGAGCAAAGGTAAGAGGTTTTAATGAGACCTCATCGTTCGTAAGTTTCATGCTAACAATCGTTCTCTCTATACCTTTCCAACCTCCGATGTAGCTAGACTAGCATAAAAAACAGTCTTATACTTGGAAGATTTGCAAAAGGCTTGAAATGGGTTAAATACTCCGAGGGCTCACCACCACTTCAGCCGACACTTAGTACGGTCACTGGTTAATGCTAACTAAAGCTACTCGCCAGCTATCGTGCTAGCCCAGTTTTATGTGGGTCTGTAGATTCGATGCCTTTTGAGTCCCGAAGAAAAAAATCAGTCATAAAATACTAAGACAACATATAAATATGTGATTATGAAATATATTATTACTATGTCTCTCCTCAACAAAATATCAATTCAATTAAATATTATTTCAAATTATTAAAATTAGTTTTATTCTGAGGTTTTTGGCCTGTTCCTGGCTATGATTGCTCGACTTCATTTCTAAGATGTAGGCAAAATATTCTCATTCTCATTTATATATTGTTTTAGATATGAACTTATTGTGAAACTGTGTTTTTGGCACGATTATGTAGAATAATATATATGTCATGTCACCCCTATTTTTATGCCTGGCTAATTCAGGAGCATAACACAGAACGAGGTCGACACATTAGTAAACAAGAAATGTATTAAGGATAACTCAACGTAAGCAAAACATAGCAGGCTTAGGTCAGTAGTCAGTTGTGAAGTGTGTGAGTTGGGTGCCAGGAAAAATGCAAGTTCTAACCCTAAACTACCTGTAACATGAAAAAAAGGCCATCTAACCCAAGGCACCGATTTTGTGGAATGACCCATGTATTACGACCGTTAAATACAGTTACAGCTACAGGTGCTGCCAATTTACCTTGATGAGCATCCGTTATTTAAGTGGGGGAAACCTTTCCTATAAAAAGTTTGGTGTACACTAGTGTTAAGTAAAAAAGAAAAAAACGACATCAAAGTATTGTAAAATACTATATTTTAACTTGAATAAGTATATTGCCCTAATGCAGGACAATTTAGTTTTCCATAGGACAGGCTTATTAAGTATTTGGGAATCTTTTGGTCTCAGAAACTCCTATATATCTCTAATACTGTCCCACAAAACATAAAATAACACATTTCATGGTATATTTATTGCAGTGCTTCTGTTGTATTAAGGTCTTATTTTTAACTTGTTCTTTGTGTTTATCTTCAGAGGTTCTTAAAGCAAATAGACTATTTTCACAGCAGTCAGTTTCACTGTCAGTTTTCAGTCATAGCAGGAAAAGCACAGGTGGAATTAATTACATTAATGAAGGCTCGGTTCCATTAAGTAGCTCAGTATCAGCTGTTTCAGTAAACCAGCACTCACAATACCAGGACCTCCCCTAAGTGGAATGCAGACATCATTAACATTATTAAATACACCTGTGTTTATCATGCTATGACATGCCAAAATGTGTGCTGTGAAAAGGGTCTACTCTAGAACTACAATTCATTGATATTAAAGAAACCAGTGTCTGGTACTGTATGTTGCATCTGCAGCTCCATGACCAGGGTGTGTGTATGGGTGAACGTAAGGCAGACGCTCATACAGCATTGAGAACTTTTCAACACTTACAGGGCAAAAATATTTCTGTT